AAAACCCATGCTTCAGCCAGCTCTGGCAATCTTTAGCTGGAGCCATACAGAAGGAATATCCAGTTAACATCTTTGCACCTTTTTTCATTAAGTCTCTTACCTATCCTCATTTTGCTTCCCATTTGTCTGTTCCCTTACAGCTCCTTTCACTTCAACACTGCCACAGGAACCTAAAACCAGAGGTAACGCTGAAGGGCATGGGATATTTATAAAAAACCCCAAATTTTAACTTTCACAACTCCCTTGTTCTAGGAGTAACACTTAACTTCACTATCCAAAAAAAAAAAAAAAAAATTTGAAAAATCTGCCATCAGCAAATGAACTTTTGAGGAGAACAGAAGTATTTGCCAAGGATCTCATCTTCAAAACAGCTGCAGTTTCAGTTCTTCAGTGCCTTTGCATATTAAAAACAATACTTTAGAAATTTGTGTTATTGTTTATTTTTGGAACAAGAAGATGTAGAATACTATAATAACACGGTACCATAGGATTCTGCAGTTACATATTCCTCAAAGTTATACTTTAAATGCAGCAAAATTCAGAATTATTTGAATAAACCCTTCATTTGTGGGTATATAGTCATGTAACTTTGCTCTGTGTGGTGTTATTTTTTTGATCCCTTCTTTAAGCAGAACAAAAGGCAAGTTGTCTTTTCCAAACAGCTCTTTATTGTAAAGACCATTAAATAAGATACCAAAACACCACAACTTCTACAGTATATGATTATACAAATACTTTAAGGATTTGGTAGTACACAAAAATAATCAAGAGATTTCATTCATGAAAGAGCTATTGAGTAAACTATTTCTAAGATCTCTATATCTGTTAAAAAGTAGGATTTTTTTTTTCCCCTAGGACAAGAATGATTATGTTTTAAGCATAGAGTTTATTAATTCAAAAAATTTGTCTTTTTGCATCCCAATAAAAGTTTTTAAAATATTAGATTAGAGGAACAGTTGTTTTTAAATACATATAAACAATAGATTTGAAGAAGAAAATTGGAGGAACAACGCCATTCATTCCAGATAAAATTATTCCCAGGTCATATTGCTTGTAAAAACTTTAAGAAAATAATGCACAATATAGCACATATTAGGTTCTTTCTTTCTTTCTTTCTTTCTTTCTTTCTTTCTTTCTTTCTTTCTTTCTTTCTTTCTTTCTTTCTTTTCCTTCTTTCTTTCCTACATTTTCTAGACCTTGAGATAAATGCCTACACAAGATAAAATAATCTTAAATTCTAGAATACTACATTACAAAATCTGTTATACAGCTTGGATTTTTAAATCATTAATCCAAAAAAGCTACAATAATGATTTCAAGATTGTCATTTAGGATGTTTCCAGTCTATTAGTTTCTCTGGTGTACAAATCCACTCTTAATAATGTTAACACTTTATTAAGCAGCTGGGACATTTCACCTGGATGAGGTCTTCATGTTGCTGCCAGTCATTTAAAAAGTAATGTATAGACCACCTGAGTAGCCCTTAATCTATCCATAAGAGAAATATATCCTGCAAAAGCTTCCTACAACTGATTTGCAAAAGCAAAATAGAAAATTTTTCCAGACTAACAGTGCACTGTAACTTCTGTGACAAAACAGACTGATACTTAACCCATTAGGAGCTCAAACAGAAAAATGCTATTCCCTGGTAATTCAAGTCCAGATTTGTATAGTCCCTCTTTTCCTTCTGTACAATGGAATGTGATGCAATTCCTGAGATACGAGCTGTACACTCGTCTGCTTGGAAAAAGCAGGCGACCATTGGGCAACCAAGAGCTCCTGAAGGCTTTGTTTCTTAATAGCTGACAGCCTCCAAAAATTACTGGGTGGCTCCCATGTCATTTCCCCATATTGCTACCTCGGAGGAATCACTCAGTCCGACAAAGCTTGCCTGCTAATGAGGTACCAGAAGGCTCTTTTATTCCACTGTCTGATTGACTGGTCTGGCAGACCCATCCAAGTATCCTGGATTTGGATGATTTTGGAATCTGGTCATGAATATTGTGCTTTTGTGTGTGTTGTAATATGACACCCACTGGATTCAAGAGGCTGGATGAGAATGTAAAGTTTCAGTAAAAATTAATATTAACAAGCAAATATGTTTAAGCTCTTCTTTTTTACAAAGCTTAGATACATGATTCTAATGCTCTCTGGAAATCTGGTAAATGGAAAGAAACAAAAATCATTTGACATGTATTTAGTACTTCATTAGGGTCAGGGATATTTTATCTATCTACCTATCTATCTATCTATCTATCTATCTACCTACCTACCTACCTACCTACCTATCCATTTTCAGGGTTTTGCAGCCTCACTCTCAAATTCTGAATGCTTGCATATGGCAGCAATTAAAATCTCATTCTCCAGGTTCCTTGCAGAGGTCAGCCCCTCTCTCCCACTTTTTTTACTTCATGGGGAGTGAGATCCAAGTGCTGACTGGTTTTACCACAGAAGTCAGCACAGTTTATTTTGCAGATTATCTGAAACTCTTGTTTTCTCACTGCATGCAGTCAGACCAGGATTTTTGATGTGGAGGACATCAATGATCCATCTGGAACCTTAGGAAATTTAAGAAAAACCTGCTCTTCTTTCTGCCCTCCAACATTAAATTATTGTAGTGGTGGCTTGTATCTTCAATTTGAAACTCTACAGTGCAAATTGATAACTAATCTTGGGGGAAAAGAATAAAGTTCAAGACCAGTTTTTTCTATATTTTGTGTTCACTAAGAGTCGGATATGAGACATAGCCAATATCATACATTTCAAAATTAAATCTCTCTTAATCTGAAAAGTCAACATTTCATCCTGTGGTTTCCAGCACATCCATTAAACCCTTACCTAAAGCATAAAACAAAATTTTAATTTCTAAGGGAAAATACAGAAAATATTAAAACTTATACCACAAGCAAGATTTAAGAACTAAAGACTTATGTTATCAGCACTGCCTTTAAACTGTTGATAACAGCAACTATTATATTATAATGTTTCTTTTAAAGACAAAGTAACAAATATATGCTTCAGAAATGATAAAATTATTCATGTATCTGTGCTTTACTTTTTCTGTCTAGGGCATTTGAAACATTATGGATGATAACTTAAAAATATAAAAAATCAAAGTAAATCTCAGTTCCATTTAATTCTTCATTAGAAAGTACTGACAGGTTTCTGCAATAACTATATGACTATATCCAATATTTTAGGAGTCTAAGAAATAGTTAAGTATGAAGTTTCTGAATAATTGGTATAATTATTCATCTATTAACTTAATTTAAAAGTCAGTCATGTAATTTATAAGAAAAATGTGGTTCTCTGAAGACATAGAAAGAGACAGAACATCTCTCAATAATTGCTCTTATAAAACAAAATTGCCCTTATCAAAGGGAGTTCTTTAAGAAAAGGTAGTGGTCTTCAAAATAGTAATTTTAAATGGGAAGGGAAGGGAAGGGAAGGGAAGGGAAGGGATAGATTTCTCTGACCTGAACTTCACCCAGCACTCATTCCTGCTGCAAATATAGCAGCATGGATATTGCAGGCAATGCACAGTTATGGGTGAGGCAGGTACCCTGCGGATCTCACTGAAAGAATGTGCAAAATAGAGACAAATACACCGAAACCTATAATATTTCTGCCGTCAATCAAAAATGAAGGCTAAAGAAAGGCTGCCATTCCACAGCAGTGAGCCCATCAGGAGGTAGCAACAGTTAGAAGAGAGAAGAGGTTTCTAGCAACGAAGCCTCCCAGACTTCAGTATTTCCTTTAACAGCTCTGAGCACCTAGCTTAATTCTATGGTTTGTGTTTTCTACTATTTTAATACTGCTATGCTTGCTTTTCATGAATGATTAATAAATTGAAAAGCCAGCACTGGCTTTTTTAACTTAACTGACCATATTGCAATTACAGTTTTTGTTTCCTCATCTAGTTCAGACTATCACCCTGAACGACATTCCTCTGACACCTCCATCAGAGGCTAGGGACAACTGACAAGCAGTACTATCCAGCCATACTTTAAACTGTCTCCACCAGTGACACAAAGTAGCTGTCTGTGTGCGGATTCACAGTCTGCTGAAAGGAAATGGGTTATTTAATGCCATTTCCAGCCAGTCTGACTAATCTGCTAGTTCTGCACTGCAAAGAACAAGTACATGGTCACAAGGCAGTGTGGAACACTAGATGGGGATGGAACAGGGAGTATCATCATTTGAGGTCATATACCATTACCATGACTGTCTAAATTACCTCAAATATGAGACATGGAAGGGTGTTTGTTTCTGAAAAAATCATGTTCTCTATCAGATGACAACCACATTACCTTACCCTATTTTATTTAGCTTTAATATTGCTAAACTTAACATAAGAGAAATAAATGACTTTTTTTTTGGTCTTTTTTTTCTGGTTTTCCCATGAAAAAGTGATCTGAAGTATTTTTTTTCCCTCAGGTTCTACAAGCAGTGAATTTTGGAACAAACTGCTCTGCTCTGTTATATCAGAGCAAAAGACATTTTAGAATGCAAATATCCATAACAGTACTAGGGATCTTACAGGTTTGTTGGAAAGAAGGCATTTCTTAACCACTTGAGAGCATTCTGGTCTCCAGTCTAATTCACTGTGTTTTGTAAAAAAAGCAAGGGGTGTGAATTTACTTATTTAAGCAAAGCCCTTAAGCACATTAAGCACTTAAAACATTGAGACTGAACGTACTTAATTGCTTTGCTGTATTTGAGTCATAATGATTATTGCAATAATTAGTTTATGCTCAGGTATTTCTTGTCAGTGCATGCATTTAAGGGTTATTGAATGAATAAACTGATTAATAATATTTGTAGTGAGAAAAGGAAATATAATTAGCTTTAATATAGTTAAAATACATTTTGCTTTAACAACTCCATCCCTCCCCATGAAAAAAAGTGCAACAAACGTGTGAGAGGATTTGAAAATTCTCCAAGTGTTTGGGTTTTCTGTTGGGTTCTTGGTTGTTTGAGGGCATTTTTTGTTAGTTGTGTTTTTTTTTTTTTTTTTTTTTTTTTTTGTGGAGGGGTGATGGTGTGACTATTTGTTGGAGGAGAACTGCTTTGAGGAAATACATCAAACAGGAAACAGGTAAGTTTTCAAAAGCAATGTCTGTCCCACTTTTGCCTTCTGGTCTGAGCATCCAGGCTTCACAGGTCTTGGACTATCCTTCACTTTTCATGGTTGTTGTGGGCCCCAGTCCATTCAGACTTTTCCTCTAAACTGGAACCCAGAATCATTGATATCCCAAATCTCGTGCACACATCACAAACACGGAACTGGAAAATGTGTAACTTTCAGGCAACAGTTGATTCCTCATGGCTTGGAAACATTTTTTCCCATGCTGTGACCCTCCCTCTCTGTTAGCTTCCAAGACTGTTTTCAACTCTGAAACTTCCTGTTTTATACAGATTTGTGGAAGGAGGGAAAGGAAATGCCTTTTAATAGTAATTTTAAGATGTTCTATTTTCAATTAATCTTTCAAACACTTCACCAAATTTCTTGGTTTTTGTTTTTCCTGAGCATTCATAGATTAGAAATCAAAAATTCAAAATTCACTTAAAAGCAAGCTATTTAAAATATTCATTTTGAAATTGCCATTTAATAGTTTATCCTTGTCTTCCTTAAACCTATTCCTAATAAATTAAACTAGTCAAAACATAAAATACTGTGGCACTTCTTACTACTATATTATTCTAGAATTTTGGGAACGTTTACATGTTTGAGGTGTTGCATTAAGAAGCTGTAAGGTTCTCAGTAGGATTTATGGACAATATCAGTTTACTTGGTGTTAAGTTGGTGTGCTTTATAAAACTCGAAAAGACTACAAGATTGTTTGAAAGCATGTTGAAATCTCAGTTTTGTACAATACATCATGCTTAAAAACTAGTTTTATTTGCAAATAATTGTATTAGTCCAATTATCTCAAGTAGGAAAAATCCACAATCAAGAAACAGCAATTGCAAAAAAGACACAGCTATGTTATCATCTTGATTTTCCAGAGTATATTTTCACACAAGTATGATTTTAGATTTAGATAAGATAACCATAATGCACAGTTACCTATGAACTAAATATACATTGTTTTCTTCTGCTGCATCAGTAATATGAACTTCTCTTGAGTATGTATGGTCTTCTAGCTTTGTTCACATGTAGCTGCCGTTTCAGAATATAGGGATTTTTTCTCTTCATGATTTCTTTTTCTTGGCTTGAGTTCTCCAGATCAAAAGCATCTTGCTGTAGTAACTGTAGGATGCAAGAAGAGACACACTGTTATCTACTTTTTTTTTTTTAATGAAGATTATAATCTCCTCCAAATTTTAATAAAATATTAACATATTAAATTAACAAATAAAATATTAACATATTTTATTGCCACCAATACAATCTGTAGCTGCAGCAATAATTAATTGAAGAAATATATAAAACTCAAGACACAAAACTAAAAACAGGCTAAAGATGAGCTGAGCCCTACAGAAGAGATTTTTAAATTCTACTTCAACAGATTAGATAACTGGTTTTGACTAGAGAGGAAAGCTGGTTTATCCTCCTTAGACCAAAACTCAAACAGACTGAAAGTTTTCTAATGACTATCGCTCTGTTATCACATGTTTAGGTTAAACACCTACATGCACTGCTTGCTGGTTTCATCAGTTGAGAAATATTTTATTCTGTAATTTCCTGCAAAGCAGGAAACTGTGACTAAGACATATGGGTTATTGCATATTTGGTTCTAGGGCAGTTCCTTTCCAGCAATAAATGCACTGAAGAAGAGCATCTTCAGAAAACTCTGGTTCTCAAAGAGGTTGCAGTCCTTTGCATGGACCACCCCAGCTAACATGAGGATTGGGAATATAAAGAGCTTTGACAGCAAAGCAAAACAAAACAAACAAAATCCCAAACAAACAAACTAACAAACAAAACCAAAACCAACCAAAAAAATATCTGGATTCATCTAGACTGTACATGAACCTGAGATAGATGAAGAAATTTGCTTTACTGGAAAGTGGGTAGTGACACTGAGTTATCTTTTTTCACTACACAAAGCAGCTTTTAGTGTAATATCTAACAATGCAAGTGGATTGTGCCTAGTGTGCTTCTGTGTAGTCACTGTAATCACTGCACTAAACTAAATATCAGAAATGGACTATAAACAATCACTGTTTAAGAGCAGCAATGTTCATACAATCACAATGTCAACTTGCAGGGCCCTCTTTAGGTGTAGGGAAACCAAAAGCCGGAGTAGTAACCTTGTTGCCAGTTTCCTAGCAATGATAAGAAAACCAGAGTACCTAGTAAAATGGTATGTACACATGGGCATGTATCCCTGCATTTTGAATTCATTTTGCCTTAGGGTCCTCAAACAGAAACACAGGGTGCATTTACTTATGCGATAGATCTATAATAACCTCATGTCTGTTAGGCAGATATTAATTATGTTTTCTGGCGTAGTGATGACTTTCATATGTTTGTTTGTTTACCTGAAATGGCTACAAAGAGTGGAAAAAGTACATAGTTAAGAAAAGTTCTCATTTATCCATGGGTTTTTGTAAGAAACATACACTCAGATCATCAGAAACTGTACTAATTCACTGCTCATACTGAAAGAGGCATATTAGAGGTACTAGAGAATATAAAAAGGGAAGGAAACCTCAGACAATGTGATGGAGATCACATGGATATGGATTTTACAACATCACTACAAACAGAGTCTGAGAGTTTAACAGCAGGAGAAATATACATTTGTGATGGTTTGTGTTACCTCCCAGTGCTGAAAAGCTCTGCTGTGGCAAACTTTTTGGAGTTGATATACTGTCAGCATTGCTTCCAAGCTGAAGCCATCCAGAGCAGCAGGGAACTGTCTTCCTGGAACCAGATCCTCCTCATCTACCTCTACTGTTTCCCCCATTTGGTTGTTTATGTTGTTGACAAGATTGCAGACATTTAGCAGGGTCACCTTCCAATAAGGAAGTTTTGCTCTGTTAATCTGAAAATAAAGACACCCACCATTTAATGTATTTTGGGTTTTTTGTATCCATGTGCTACATTCAAACGTTTTGTTAGAAACAAGTTTATGTTTCTGAAGTGCTTTTCATCTGGTCAACTTTTAGACAATAATTACAGTGCAGAATTTAGGACAACTCATTTATTACACACGCCAAGTCTGCTTCCTTGCAGCCTTGCCCCCCAGGTAGATATAAATGATGAAAAAGCTCAACTGCTACCAAACCAGAATGGCAGCATTTCATAGTCATTCTGCACAGGTGCAAACAAAAACACAGATGGAAATTAATATAATATAAATTCACAGGTGTAAATAAGGATAATGAATCAAACCCACTGGATAAATTCCCAGCTCAGGAATCCAAGCTGGATGCCTGTGGTTAACTAGACACTCCTCCCTAGTTCAGCACAAATACCAGCCATCCCAAAATTCCCTGAGAAAAAGAATGGAGGCCCTGCTTCAGGACAAGCTGTCTGATGAGTCTGGGTCTGAAGTTACAGAATCTGTAAGCCCCAGGAGTTTTGGATGCTGGAAAGTGAGGAGCCTGGGAGATGCTAATTGAAGATCTATAGGCTTAGGGAGATGGAGCAAAGACAAAACACAGCTGTGAAAACAAAGTATTCCTGATTTGGTAACTGGACTGAAAAACTGAGACCAACTGTATTTATGTGGCCCAACATGAACCTGTTATAAAAAGATAGAAAAAAAGGAAATTTCACCATGGTTTGTCTCAAATTTTGCTTTTTCCAGTATATTGCATTATGTATGAGCTCTTAAACTATTTTAAAGAAATGTTGATAAGCATGACTTTTACTTTTCTACTGGTATTGTTTTTTCCAAGCAGTTGCAGCAGCAGTCTTCCATTTTGATTATCAATAGCAAAAATGTAAGTCTAAAACTTAATTCCTATCTCATTTACTGCATTTCATTATTTTGCCATTTTCTTCATTCTCCCACTACTAATTATTTCTTCTGCACTGTATTCCTTTCAGTGCTGAGCATAGAATTGAGTTTTCTTCAACTAGAACTGGTGACATAGCAATCTCCAACCAAAAGCCACATAGCAAATTCCTAGTTATTCCTTGCAAAAACTTCCTTGCTACGCACATTAGGATGAGACCTTACCTATAAACTGAAATGTAGTTGCTTCTTTTCCTGTATGCATGAAGTTAAATACAGGTATGACACTAACACAGGCATTGCCTTGCACACATACTTGTAGCACTGATTCAGCATGGACGCAGTGTTTACTTGGCTGAACATCAGGTAATCACAGAACCTGTTTCTTTAGGGATCCTTTCTAACAAAGGGGCCTTGTGTGCAAGATTTATGTATATTCATCACACTTGACAATTTTTTGAGGGAAAAGAAAGTTCAGAGAAATGAAGAAGAAACAAGAAAATTTGCCATCACTTTTAGCATTAGTTACAAAAAGTTTTCTTTTGTCCATGATCATTACTCCAACATAGATCTGAGAAATATATGCCCATCAAAATAAGAATGATTTAGCCTTTTAATAAAACTGCTGTGCATTCTCAGATTCCTGACAACATTAAACAAAAAGAAGATTATTTTGTTTTGAGGCTAAGAAACCAAATCTGAAATCTTATTTGGAAGCCTGTAATTGGTATTGCACTCTTTACTTTGAGCTCATTTGTTTTCTCATTGAAGTACCCTAGTTAGTCTATCAAATTTCTTAAAAAGATGTGACAGTTTCAAGATAAAATTATTCTCTTTGCAGAATATCTAATTTTTTCAACAGAAGTTAAACTAGGGAAAAGATCAAATACCCAAGGCAATTTCAAAATGTTCTTTGGTCTGTTTTAATATATTTTTGAAATATAAAAGTATGGGGCTTTCCATGACAAATGAGGAGGCTTCTCCAGTTCACTGCTCTCTCCTGGGTATGCAAAAGAAATGTGAGCCAGCACTGCAACAGCTAAATTGCAATGGAGCATAGAATCTAGAGGCAGTGCTATGTGAGCCAGTGAGATTTCTGAGTTGAGAACCAAAAATATTCCAGTGGATAGAAACAGAAGAGTAAAGGATAGGGTAATTTTTCATGCCTTCTTGCATAATTTATAGAATCTTTTTGATCTAAAGTTACTACTTGATGTCATTCTGCACATCTATGTATAAAGGAACTTTCCTCTGTGTATTAGTAAAGTACTTATATAGCAGATTTGTTTAGGTGAAAATTGTCTTAGCTCCTACCTATGAGATGAGGAGAAAACAAATTTGCAGTGCTGTATTCAAGCTTCTAATTAATATTTCATTTGTTAAGGGAGTCTCATTCCTATTAATGCCATGAATATATCCCCTCAAAAAAAAGTATTTTTACTTGGCTACTGCTTCTGACCTACTGCTACCATTAACAATTCAGTCAGAGTGAATTTTGGGTTATTTTAATTGAATGTGGAGTTTTCCAGCTCATGTCCAGTCACCAAACAAGGCAGTCATGTTATTTTTCTGCTCCACTATCACATCAAGCATTAAAATCAGACCACTTTGCTTTTCTGGGTTATGGAAAATAACTGAGGCTGTTATCCTAAAGGTATATGTAAAAAAACAATCTAAGATGATGATAATCCAAATTTTCAGATTCATTTATAATATGGGATAAATTTCATATATTATATATTTATATGTATTTTCCACACAGATCTAAGCAATATCAAGTACAGTAGCTCAACAAATGGTTTGGAAAACACCCACACAATAAAACAAAGAACCCTTATCTGCCAAGGTAGAACAAATTATTTTAAGAGTAACTTGAAAAATATCTGGGAATAATCTGAAGAAAGAAAGGAAATTGAAGTATGAACAAGAATTTAAAAAGTATATGAATACTGAAGTGAACATGATGTATGTATTTCCACTGTTGAACATGCTTGGAAATAAGAATCAGATATATAATTTCTCCCACTTCATGGATCTTGAAAGAGAATTTAAGATCATCTAAGAAACTGAAATAAGTGTATTTCCTTCTTTAACACGAGGCTTGTCCTATGCAAGATAAAAGAGATTTCCAAGTTACAATTTATATGGTGTTTTATTTCCATATCTGATTGAATGATACCCCTGATAGTTTGCCTAAGATACTTCTTTTGTTACAATCCATCCATACATCCCAAATGCTATTTTTCTTTAGGGAAAATTATACCTGCTTTTTACATTCTTGTCTTTATCTAGTAAAAGCAGATAAAAAGCAAATTCATTACAAAGTAAAAATCCCTAGTTAGTGTAGGATCTCTATGGTTCTTTTTCATGATAGCAGTTGAATTTTGTTCAGATTGTAACCATAGAAATAATATACTTAATCAGATATATATGAATTCTGTTAAAGAAGAAGTTATTCCATGGGGCATATTAATGCCTGTAAACCGAATTAATTTTTATGCAATGACTGAGTCAGGAAGTCACTAACTCCTAGATAGCTGTAGGTTCCTCCTACTTCTAGACAGCTCTTTAGACAAGGAGGTTAAACTCTCCGGGAAAATGCACTCATAAATAGGCATCCTACAACAACGAAAACTCAGTGGGTCCATTCATTCAGATATATTCTCCAAGGAATACTTTCATTTCACTTTTTTTCTTCCCCTCTAAATAACATAGTGTCAATTTTTTTGAGTTCAAAAAAGATTCTTTGTGCAAGTAGTGGTTTCCAGCAAGCATTTAGGAAGCTAGAAACAGTTATCTCTTTGGTATGAATAGAGCTTTTTTATTTAAAACAAAAGAGAGACATGCGATATCTGTCCACATATTTTGACAAGTCAGGTTTTGTTCTTTTACCTGACCTTCCCAATGGCTTTATGGATTTTATCTTAGGAAAAAGACAGAGTATTTTAAGCATTTGTTTGATCCTTGTATCTTGGTTCAGATGTAACAGCAGGGAAGGGTGACAAACTGTATTAAGTGCTGAAGACAGATTGCAATAAGCATGAACTAATTCTTTAAGGATGGAGAGTGATTAAGCATATAGATGACTTTAAGAGCAACTTGAAAAGGGGCAGCAGGCACTGGACAACAGTCTGTGAAGTTAAAGGCATAAGGCAATTCTTCCCATAATACTGAATATTGCAAAAGGTGTGCTTAAGCCCTGGTTGCAGTCTTGATACTATAGTCCACAAGTGCCTACTTAGGTAGATTTTTGTTCTATCAAATACTAAACCCACAAGTGATAATCCCTTTTGCTGCACTTTTAGATCTCAGCTTTCATAAACAGTAATTATTTTCCCATCTTAATACTGTTTAAATTGTTAGGATTTCCTTTGCTGGTTACCAAGTAAGTGTCAAATACAGTCTGTGCAATTGAGCAGTAATTGCCCTCAAATGGAGCCAGATCTCAGGTACCACCCAAGACAGGCATTACACATACTGTCTTCAAATTTGTCTATCACACCAGAACCATAATTTGTTGTAACAAGGGTTAAAATCTGGCAGTGGACAACAGAAAAAAAGTAATTTCAGTAATTAATGGGATTGTGATATTAATCTTGAAGACTTGATACACAGTTTTTAGTGTTTCTACTATGTCTTGCTTTGATGTCAAGAGACAACATAAATTCAACTAATGAACTTTAGATGGTGATTTAAGGCAGTATAATGCAGAAGTAAAGCAATGAAAGCAATGTCTCCAACATGAATCTACTGCTTCTGTCAACTTCAAGTGTCAGTTGACTGTGGTAAATACCCTGAGGGAGCTCAACAGCAAGCTACATAACATCAAAAAACGTAAGAATATTATGGCAAACATTGCGACACTATTAACTGGTGCAATATATTTGTGCATTTGGAGTCACCTGAGCTTGTGTTCTGTAGTGAGAGGGAGGAAAAGATGGAAATCATGTTCACAGATCCACTAAACTCAGTAGCAGAAATACCAATAGCTGCAGGGTTTTATTCCAGGGCATCATATGCTTTGCCACAGAGCAAAAAATCTATTTTTGTCGGCCTCTTACACTTAAATACGTTTCAGAAAAGGAGAACTTATTAAATCTTTCAGAACCTTGGAAAAGCGAGTGGCCAACAGGTTTATTTCTAATCTAAGGTTGACTTTCATGCCAGTAAAGAACACTGAGATCTAAGAACTGCCAGACCAGTTAAAGAAAATGCATTTTCTGGCTTTATACTTATAGTCTATCAAATAATCCTGTAAAAAAGGCCACATATACTGAAACGCAATATATGCAGAAGTCATCCTGGCAGGTTTTATCTTTAACCTTCAACTAGTCATTGGCTTATGTAAATTTCATTTTTGGAGGAGAAATTTTTCATTTCCCATTTTATTTTCCATTACATTTAAATAACGACTTAAACTTTATTGGAATAACAAATTGAAATATTCACCTTAAACCCATAGCATTTGTTTCAGAGTTTGTTCTTTGTATGTTGTTGAAGATATGTCAGACACATACGTTTCTTAGATCATTTATGGAAATTAATTGTGTTGAGAAAGTGTCTATCAGCCTGTCCAATACATACATGCAACACTATCTGCTTCACCCTGTCAGTATGAGGTTTTCACTGAATTTTTTTATATTCATATTAAATAACATAAACATTATTCACAATCTGGAAACCTGTCAAGGAAATGCCATTTACAAAGTTAGTATTTTCACAGTCATGCCCCCATGTTCCTGTACTGGCACTATGATCAAAATCCTAAACCAAAATTGGCATATGTATTAACTGGTTTTGCTTTATGATTGTTCTAATTTTATATGCATATAGGAAGGGTTCTGCATAAAAATAGCACTTACAGATTTGACTCAAGGTTAATTTAGCTTTCATCGGGCATAATCTTATTGGAAACACATTTCGTCACATAAATTTACATCTCTGTACATAACACAGTTTTGACAGTTTAATGAAAGTACCAGTGTTACAGCTGAGGAACATGTTTAGTGTGTCACATCAACACCTTTATATTCCCTTTGAACTGGAGAAAATCTTGCACCAAAGTAAAACCTAACACTGAACTTTTATGTCTACACCATAGGTTATTACTTCGTGCAAAGACTTTTGGGTTTGTAATGAGAATTCATTTGGTAAAGGAAGAAAAATAATTACCTTTGATGTGTACATATTGGTCAATAAATCTGCTTCTAATGCTTTCATTTCCTCTTCTGAATCTGGGAATAAACCAGAAACATGTGTTTATTATTTGATCATAAATCATGGACATTTCAATTCAGTATACAGAACTTAGATATTTAAAGGGTTTTTAAAAATAAACAGCAAACACAAACACCAGTGACCTAGAGGGACTGTCGCGAGTCTTCAGTTAACAGCAACATTATATAAAAATAAATACTCAACAAATTTTTAAAGCATGATCAAGCTTATTGAACTGAATGGAACTGTTCATTAATCTCAGCTTCATAGCAAAAAGCCTCATTAAACTGCAATTCCTTCGGTATTAAAAACCTGCAATATTCTTCATTATTTTCATAATAAATATTTGTAACATTTACTTACTTCAAAAAAAAATTGAGTATTTTTTCAAATAAGATTTATTTAAGCAGTAATTATTTATGTAAATTGCAGTTTGATTACTTGATTAATAATCAACATTCTTTATTATTAATTAAGAATACTTAATTAAATTAATGATATTTTTACTGATATGAGGGAACTGAGCTTGACCAGTTTATGATAGAATGTATCATAAACTCTTGATAATGTATATACAAAAAAGAAAGTATTCTGACTGGAAGTCTATGGATTTTCTGTACTGATTTAATCGACTTTTGATAGCTCAGCAGACTTGCAAGACTTATGAGTTGATAAATAGGGTAAAAATTGCTGTGGAAAGAGAAAAAACTTTCACAGACACAAAAAACAGACACATTTCTGTACACAGCATCACAAGATGAAGATGAGAATCACAATGAAGATCTGGTGCCTTGTTTGCAGCAATCACAGCTCAAAGAGAAAAAATGTAAGGAATCAGTTAAGCCTTTAGATGAAATACAGTTCCACACAGCTTTTACCTTTCCTGGAATAGCAACAGTCCAAAGCCAAACAATGCACTAATATTTCAAACTATACTCAACCAAAATATATACCATATTCATATAGGTAATATCTCACTTTCAATAATCAATGCTGTTGGCAAGTAAGACCCTACCACTGAATATGGGGATAGATTCTGCCCATGCCTTCATTTCAGGGATCTTCACCATGCCGTGTCACTGCCTTTCACAGAACATGAGACTGTAAGGGACCACAAGAATGTGCTAATGTGCCACAGGTTTCTATCAGCACAGAAGCCACTCATTACAATGTTCTTAAAAATCAGCCATATTCAATCTCAATAAATATCACATTTACTATCACTTTGTTTCTTCTTTAGGAAGATCTCCTAAATATCAGTGCTTACTCAGTTGCTTCTGATTTCAAGTCTGATTTATTTCTAATTAGAAATGTATCCATGGTTTGCAAATAAATTCCTACACTATAAATAATACCTTTCTATTTGCAGTATTTACCCATCATGTATTTATTGAGAGGAATCATTGCCCTTCCAAGCTTAGTGTTTTCGTGCATCCTTACAAGATTAGCAAACAAGTGCAAGATCACTGTGTCCTTTTGGTCAAAAACCATCACTCTGGAAATCCCATAAATGCTTCATTGAAAGGCTATTCCCAGATTTATTGGACTCTCACCTATTCTCCTTCCTTGCAAAAGCCTTGTATTCCCAAACTCACCAGAGCAGCCCTCTTCTGTCCCTGATGTGTTCTCAAGAGAGAACAGCATAGCACAGTTTGGTTCAGCAACCTCAATACTTAATCACCCTTATGCTTACTATTAGCTACAGAGGGCAGCTGTCTTACATGTCTTTCGGTTTTGTTTGTCTTTTGTGGCTGAAAAACCCCAAAAACCAGGTTAGATAACAAGAGAGTCTTTTATTCCTCAGATTTCCAACAGTTGTGCTTTTCTTAAAAAGGATCTTCTAACAGGAATTTCTATTATTTCCTAAGCCACTGCATTTTGTATTGTTGCACTGCTTCTTATTCCTATTATTTAGGTCATCAAAAACTTCCACGTGTCCCACATATCCCCTTCCTCTGTAGGGATGCTCCTGCTCACCTTTGCATTACCAACACAATAGATTCATTCATTATTTTTAGCATCAAAGCAATTGCATTTAAATGACTTGCTGTAATACTGATCTACAACTAGTCTTATTCAATGTTTAAAATTTTCATATTAAATAGGACTAGCTGTAGACCAGTCAGCAAGTCTCTAGCCACTGATCTCCAACCTAATGCCTTTTAGCCCCTTCAGCAGGAATAGCAGTCAGTTTTGCCAGCTTTACCATTAGCCAAAGTTCTGCTAGCAGCACACGATCATCTCCGCTGAATTTCTATCAAGGATAGCATCTCCTGCGAGCAGGTGAGAACACACAATGACAGCATCATAATTTGTGGGGTCCTGGATCACACCAGGTGAGAACAATAAAAGGATTTGTGCCTGGTGAGCACCTTTGTTTCTCTAAAGGATGGAAGGTAGCTTCCACACATCATCTGGAAGATAGCTGCAGGCATAAAAGATGGGAAGGAAGGTATTAAGAAGCATTTGGTTTGGAAAAAAAGAAATCTAGAGGACATTATTTAGGAGCCAAATTCCTTGAGTGAAGAATAAAGCAAGGCTTGGAGGGAGAAAAGGAAACATGTTCACGTAATTCCAGAGTCAAAAAAAGAGATGGATGAGGAGCAAAAGCATAAAAAGAACAGACTGTCAGAGAGCAATGTACAAAAAGCCTCGTTACACATTATTGTTAAAATCAGAGAGAAATTCACACAGTTTGATGTATTCTTAACTCCACTGACAAGAAAAATAGTTTCTACTCATATATTCACATTTTAAAGGAATAATCACATTCTACAGGTATATACTAACATCTGAGGGCAAACATTTTCAAAAAATTAATTTTTTTTAATAGTATAACTGTCCATATTAGTTACAGATAATTTGAGCCCCATCACACAAGCTTCTCTGTGTTGTTTCTCATTTACTAATAATCCCAAATTTTCAAGCAAATAAACCATTGTGTCAGTTCCCCACACAGTTTGGCTTCTGGGGCATTTTTTATGAACCCATTTTAGTTCCCACTTAATTTATTTTTACTTTAGTAGTCTTTCATTAAGGCTCTTTAACGAGTTGAATTTGAAACTGCTTCACTGAAAATACTAGTGAGGAACTTGTCTAAAAACCTTAGAAATATATGGGAAGAAAAAAATGTTAAGCTTTGTCACTGAGATCATGCATTCTCTATAATATACAGAACAATTATATTTAAACTGTAATAAAACACAGGTATCATATGGTTTACATTTTTCTTCTGCAGGGGAATACAAACTGTAAACTTCCATCTAGAGTGAGAATTAGGAATTCTGAGTCCCTCTGAACACTAAAGTTGAAAAATAAAGTTACCTGTAAATTTACCCCGTAATTTAGTGGAGTTAAAAATCAATTTTCAAGTTAGTTCAGATTGGATTTTGCAGGCTATTCTGCTGCATATATACGTGCATACACCTGTTTAACTATCAACATAGCTATTCGGTCATAAACTTTAGATATAAATGGCAGATGCTTAAGATGTGTCATTTTTCAAAGAAGCAAGAAATGCATTTCAATATATTGTCCTCCTTTTGATCTTTTTAAAGCTCTTGGAGAAGAGATGCATTTACATCAACCTTCTTACTGTGTGATCTGCCTGTGCTTCAGAGAGGTTTTTTTTGTAATAATTTCAGATTTGTTGTTAGCAACTTTTTCTCCAGATAATAAAATTATATTTCTCTTTCTAAAAAGCAACTGAAGGGCATACATATTCATGTTGATTTGGATTACAGCAGCTATTCATGAGCTGCAGAAATAACAATTTCCAAATTAATTTGGAAATACATGACACTCAATGAAACGCAGCACAGCCAAGCAGATGGTCTGCACTGATTTGTACTTCCAATGACTAGTCTACACTAATTGCCGCGGTACGGATGCTGCGAGGAGGAACGGAGAAAGTTAGAGGAGTGGTGTAAAAGAGCAGTGATGGTGGCCAGAGCCCGTTATCAGAGGCGGCTCCCGGGGGCAGCGGGCGGACAGAAGCGCCTTCCTTCCCCTCCCGGCCGCCGGTCCCGCTCACGGCCGCGGCTCCGGGCCGGGCGGAGCGGGCACTTACCCGAGCAGAGGCTGCAGGAGGCCAGGGCCAGCAGCACCACGCACACCAGCTGCACTCTCATCCTTGCCGCGCCGCCCTCTAGAAAGTAAAGTCCATAAATCCTAGGGAGAGACAGAGAGAGAGAGGGACAGAGACAGAGAGACAGAGACAGACAGAGCCCCGCCGCTCCTCGCCCTCCGCACGCGTGCTGACGGGCGGCTGCAGGCACCAGACGGGGGACCCAGACCCTTCCCCAACTATATAAGCCGCGGGGTGATGTCACGGCGGTACCGCCATCGCCTCCTGACGAAGCTCCCTCCCTCCCT